AAACAAATTATATCATATATTTAATATGGAGAAAAATAAAGCAGGGAAAGAAAAAAAAAAAGTCCATATATTAAAGGCCCACAGCTAACATTGTAATCAATGGGAAATACTGAAAGCTTTTCCTCTAAGATTTGAGACAAGGCAGGGATGCCCATTCCTGCCAGTCTATTCAATATAGAACTGAAAGTCCTAACCAAGCAATTAAACAAGGAAAAAAGGCATTCAAATTAGAAAGAAGCAAATTATCTGTGTTTGCAGATTACATGATCATACATGTAAGCCTAAACACTCAACAACCACAACAAAAAGCCTGCTAGAGTAAACAAATTTAGTAAAGTTGCAGAATACAAAATAAACTTATGAAAATCAGAAATTGGCATTTGCATACACTAAAAAGTATCCAAGAAGGAATTATGCGTAAGTTTGTAAAAGGTCTGAGAACTGTGGCTCTGGGTTCCTTGACAATGTCAACCCCTAGTCCTGCTTCTCTAATATCTATATTTAGCTTACTGTGAACAATTGGATTCTATTCTAATTGTTCCAGCCAATGTCAAATCAGAGCCTTTTTCCCACCCTAATTTTTTATTGAATAGAACCCATTTTATGATTTCTGATATCCTCTTGTTCTTGGAGTGAAAATACAAAGAAGAGAGTTGCAAATTATAAAAAGTCTTGGAAGTCTCATTAGTGCCGTAGCTGGTGTTCATTTCTGTGCACCAGAATAGGCTTCCTCTTGTTTTTGTAAGATTGTGGCCTATCTATGGACATTTAGATTTTAGGATTATAGCTTTTCAGCTTTGAGAAATATGTTTGAGAAAGGGGGAATCTCGTTACTTGATAGAACAACATTCTCTCTTAATTCTAACCCATGTTCTCTACATGAATTATGAACAAATAGAGAGATAAAGAAGTAAGGCAGATGGAGAGGGAAATTTCCATCAATGTATCTCATAGAGCTGATAGACAATGAGGCTTAGATACATGAGAACAATAGGATTCCTGGTGCCAAAACCTAAAATTAGAAACACATCTCACCACTCAGGATACTAGAGTGGAGGATTCCCCCCAATTTTCTATTAAAAACATAATAGACAATTGAGCATGGTCTTCAAAGAGGCCTTGAAGAAGAACTTTACAGGTGTTACATTTACTCCTCCTTTAGTGGAGACCTTGCTAAAGGGTCTTTTAGATTTTAGTGTTGTAGAAACGGATTCAGCAAGGAAGCAACCCAACACTGGGAGGGTTGGAGAGTCAGGAGTTTATTATGCTGGTGGGTCCAGATGGCTACTGCCTGAAAAATCTGGATGCCCAGCTCAGATCTCACAAGGTTTTTATAAGCGGACTCTTCCGGGGCTCTTTACACACTTTTTTTTCCTTTTCTTAGCATTTCAGCATTCACTAGGCTTGCATAAGCAGTCTGTGCAGATAAGCACTCAGTTACAGAAGCCAAGTAATGATTAATAGCCAGACTAATGGAGAGTTTCAGGGACAAGATATTACTTCTAGAACAAAGCAGGTTTATGAGAAAATTATTTCAGACTAATGGAGCAAGCAAATTTAGTTTCAGGGACAAAACAAGCTTATGAGAAAGTTACTTTTGCATTTTTTTCCAACAGTGTGACTTGCTTAAGGAAAATAGACAAACATCAAATTATTAATTTCATCTTCTTCTCTTAATTGTAAAATGGAAACAAACAGCATTATTTGGTTATGTGAATTTGTTTAAGGAGAGTCTCTCTGACTCTATTACCTCACATGTGCTCAGCATCATTCCAACTTCAACTATGAGACCTTTAAATGAACTGAGTAAATTAGTCCCTGAAGGTCCAAATCAGTTGCTAAGCAATTGCTTTGAGCAATCTTTCCTCAACCAGCACCCATCACCTCAAAGGAATTTCTCCATGAATACTTGACTGAGTCTTTAAATGGAACTGAGTAAATTAGTCCCTGAAGGTCCAAATCAGTTGCTAAGCAATTGCTTTGAACAATCTTTCCTCAACCAGCACCCATCACCTCAAAGGAATTTCTCCATGAATACTTGACTGAGGGAGAAAATACTTTACCTGGTCTACAAATGGCTCTGTTGGATATATTGGTACCAATTTCACATGCACTACTGTGATATTAAAGCCCTTCAGAGGGATGCCCTGAAGGAAAGAGGATAAAGTTCTTCTCAGGAGACAGAAGTTTAATCAACATATTTGGTTGTTCTCTTCCCTGAGGTTAAGATTTATGTGAATTTCTTGGGAGTGGCTAGTGTTCTGTTTGATACGCACTCAAAAGAAGCAACTTGTAGGAAATAGGGATGAACTCTTTGGGGAATAATTATATAATGTAGTAGAATTTTTCAGAGTCATATTGGACCAGGAGAATAATCACATTTATTGAGAATTTTCACCAAAATGCTCCCTCTTCAGAAGAATTTAATTATCAGATGGGCAAGATGGTCTGCTGTGAAGTCCTTCCCCATCCTTCTGAATGCTTGTGTAATGGCTTCATAAACAAAGTGAACAGTGTACTCAAATGGAGCATATGCATGAGCTAACAGCATGAACTTCTTGCAATCTGACTTCAACCCTTGTTGAAGATGTAATTTGCCTGTGTCAAGGACCAACCTCAGCCCTATACAGTACTGGTCATATTACTGTACCTCAGGTATCCGACCAGCCAGGTGGTGGTAGATGGGCCCCTTTCATCATGGAAGGAGTAGTTATTTGTCCTCACTGAAAATTACATATTCTGGATGTGGATTTTTCTTTCCCCTGCCATCATTACTGTCCTAGCACCAGAATCCTTGAATTTCCTGAATGCCTTATGTACTCTGCGAGATAGGGATGTATTTTCCAACCAAGGAAGTCACCTGATGGTGCTAGTGGGGAGTTCCACGGACAGGGCTGATGCCAGTGGAGTTCAGTGACTTTATCATGTGTCTCACCATCTAGAATCAACTGGCCTTGCACAATCCCAGAATGACCAATTGAAATCTTAGCATCAGCTCAGGCTGGGAAACATCTTCAGAAGCTGAGGTCTCTCCTGCAAAACGGGCTCAAAACCACTTGTTTCTTCCATAACTAAATTTTCAGTTAATAAAATAGGGTGAAGGTGAAGCTTCGCAATTGCACTTAATAATTCGTACACCAAATTTTGCTTCCTAACACTGTAAGCAAGGTTTTACTGGTTTAGAGGATTTAAAACCCTAGAGAGGACAAGATTTACTGCTGGAACTTCGGCTTCCTGAGAGGAGTTCTCTTCTCCCTTAGCTGTAAGGCTTCAGTTGTCCACTTACAGTGGCCATAGGCAGAACTCTCTAAAAGTTGTTTTCCTTTCTTTATTTTATTATTTATTTATTTTTAACCATCAGTCAACTGGCCAAAGGAAACTCCCCGTGTAATGATAAAAACGATCAATTTGTTAGAGAGAACACAATCCACACTTCATAAACGTCAACTGTGTAAGGCATTTTGAGCTTCCCACCTTCATCTATAGGGGAAGAACCATTGTTACAAATAATTGTAGAGTGGATAGGTACAAGTCACTGCTCACTGTTTAACAGAAGTGGGACAGATATGCCTGGTACAATCCAAGGAATTTATTTAGATTGAATTCTGAGGATCTGCAGGGGAACACATTGTGTCACATCACCCAGAATTTCTGCCATGGGAGCTCAGTTGTTTTGGATTGTCTTTTCAATCCAGGTCATGTAGTTAAAGATTCTGGTATAGATGCCAACATCAGCTCTCAAAACACATCCATCTGCAAAAGACAGGATTCCTTGAAGTATCCCATTGCACACTGCTGGGGCAGCTGTGACTTCCTGCCAGGAAAAGAGAAACCAGGTTATTTTTTCTGGTAAAAAAAACCACAGAAATATAATAGGAAAATTAAGGCATTGAGAGTATATTACCTTGCATGGCTGCCTCCTTCCTGGTACGATGCCCACGCACATCATACTTTCTTTGATGGTGTAGGATGTATAGGCACTGCGGCACTCAGTGTTGGAGATTACAGAAATGTTCACATTCTGCATTGAGTCAGGCTCCCTGGCTACAAGAGAGAAGTCAAACTTCCTTTAGCGTTCTATTAGTCGCCAAACTTTTCTTTCTTTCCCTCTTTTTTAGCATAGTTCTCCTTTTACCATCAGAAAGAAAGAGAGATCAAAAACTGAGAGAGAACAGTTTTGTGGCAGTTAGGGCAATCTGGGTACAGGAGATTATCTGTTTAACAATTTCTTATGATGCAAATGTCTATCTCATAAAAGAGGTTAAATTATTAGAAGTTATATGTAAATAGAAGACATTCCTGCAATGAAATAAAACACAATGCTTAAAATTTCCTGGAAATTTAAACATTTAAAAGGTATCCTTTGAGATGGAATTTTTAGAGCTTGGAGGAATTTAGAGGTATCTAGCCTAGTTTCTTATTTGTTAGGTCAAAATAATCCCAAATATCTGCTCAAAAAAAAAATTACTCAAAAAGTAATTTTCTTAAACCTATACAACTAGTAAGTGGTAAAACTAGGATTTAAAACTGGGTGTCCTGATTCCAATTCAAGGTTTTTAAAAAAATTTTTTTTGTATATCAATGGCCCACAGATACTGTGAATTGTGCCCCCCCCAACAAAGCTTTTCTCATCTGGAATAAGATGAGAAAAAAAAGAACAAAGTAGTATCTATACCTGTAACAGGTGTCTTGTCAAGAATTCTTCCTTGGGAAAAAATATTGTATTTCGAGATTTTGTTTTTCATAATGGGTGTGTGTGTTTGCTTTACAATCTTCATTCAAAAATACTCAAAAATAGTATATTAATTCTTTTTTTTTTTTTTTTTTTTTTTTTTTTTTCCGTGTCCGGCAAAGGACCCACACCCTCA